CAAATTTTCACCGTCACTGGGATTTGAACTCTAGACCTGCCACTTGGGGGTTGACAACCTATCCACTTCACTAGGTCACTATACCCCTCTTGCAACATATTTTAGAAACCCAATTTATAAATTTTTTATAGCAAAATTAAGGGAAGAACAATATGCAGAATATAAAAAATATATTACAATCAGTGCACCTGAAAAAACTAGATGGAACAGTTTTTATATGGCTTGTTTAAGCCTTTTAAAATTACAAAAAGCATTGCAAGTAATTTGCTATAATTAGAGATAAGTATTATGCACTTATTAGTATGAGGCACTTAATAGTTAAAATATAAGCTAATTAAGCATTTCATGCTAATAAGTGCATAATATCCATTTCTAGTTGTAATATTATTATTCTTATATTTAACAATTTTAATAACTTGACTATAATATTTTATTTTTACCAGATTCTTGCAAACAAATTTGAACCACCTATAAGAAAAACTTCATATACAAGATCAGAGCCAAAATTAAAATATGAAATATATGAGATCATTAGTTCTACAAATTTTTGGATTGATATTCGTCGTGTGCTTAATATTCTTCAACTATATTGTATTATCTAAAAAAAATTGCAATCTAACAAAGCACACTTACACCAGGTTATATTAAGTTTAGGCTATCTTATTCAATTTTGGAATGATTATGATGATGACTTGCAGCTTAGTACTTGACTTATAACGTGTTTAGAACACCAATGGCATGATTGGGAACAGCCTTTATTAATTTTATCCTGTCTTTTACATCCTAATTATCGCTCAAAGCAATTTAATATTAATATTAACTATGCTAATTTTGGCTCTTGGCTAGTTTATTATTATCGTGCATGGTTTGAAAAAGATCCAACCTGAATTTTATAAGAATTTAATAAATTTCATTCAAAAAAGTATTTTTTTGATATGAATACATGGAATCATTTTGATAATAATATTTGTCAATACTGGTGCTTTATAAGTTCTTTAACAGAAGAATTAGATTTAGTTGCAAGCTGAGTTTTTGGAATATGTGTAAATGCTGCTGCTGTAGAGTGACTTTGGAGCTGCATCGGGTTTCTATATACAAATTGGCATAACAGATTAATGGTATGTATATCTAATTATATATTAGTGTTACCAAGAAAAAAATCTGTAAATCTTTTAGTCAAGATTTGCAAGTTTTTTTTGGCGGCACTTATATAACAATAATCTTTTATATATTTTTAAATTAAGATTTTATTATATTAATATTAGCCTGCTAAAGTTTTACAAATGAGCAAGTTACATGCAGATATTATATATCATCATCAGCTTTGATCTAATGCAGCACATACATGTGATAATGATATCTCTAATACATATATAGAAATACATTCAACAGAACCAAATGATACTGATACTAATAGTGAAGCTTTTGATTTAGATAGTATGAATAATCTGAGTTCTAATAATTCAAATATTAATGAATCTTCTGAAAATAAATTATTGGAAAATAGAGAAATACATAATATAGAAAGTGAAGAAATAGTTGAATTCTTGAATGAAGAATCAGATAGTGAAGATATAGATGATGAAGAAGACTTTGACAGTTATTTACAAGATTGAGTAGACATGCTAGAAGAAAAAAGACTACAATTTGAAGAAGAAGATTTTGAAGTAAAATATGTGGATGAAGATGAACTCCCTATAAATGATATTACTCATCCTACAATTGACACTAATGCAAAATGGGAATTGTCTATGCTTTTTAAAAAATTGAATCTAAAAGATATTTTTTAATTATATATTAACCTATATTTGTATTTAACAGAACATGATATTTTTTTATTTTAAAAAAGTTTTACATCTATTATATTTATTATCAGAACCTAAAAAATATTTATTCACAAAATAACTGTGCTTTTGTTACAAAAGCATCTTAAATTTAAATATATTAGATATTTTCATAAACATTATCATATTTGATTTCTTTAGAAATTATTTTTTTTAAGTCTATTAAATACAATTATCTTTTATTACTTTTTTACTTTGTATATTTTGCAAGGTTATTTATAATGTTAAACTTGAATTGGCATTTATAAATTCATATTACTGTGTAACATAAATTTGAAGTACTTTAAACAGGGTTGTGAATAGACAATGTCTAATCAAAAATATTATTGTCTAATCATCTTTGTCTAATGTCTAATAGTCTAATAGTATTGTAATTTAGTTGCAATTAGACAATGTCTATTTAGATTAAACAATATGTCTAATTTGTCTATAGTCTAAATTTGTCTATTGTCTATTTGTCTAATCGCTATATATTAAATTTAAATTACTTGTAAATTTAATAAATGATAGACTAGTATAAAGCTGATTAAACAAAATTTATAAAATATAATATCAGTAATAAATAAATAAAATTGTAATAATTGAATAAAGTTGAAAATTGAATGAAGTTGATAATTGGGAAAAAATAGTATAAAACATTTTTTTTTTTTTTTTTAAGTTTTTTTTTTTTTTATAAATTTTTAGACAATATATATTACATCATATGGCAGATTATATATCAAATGGGCTTATTAATTTTTTTTTTTTTTTTATATAATGATGGAGATGATGTGAAAAATCAGTAGGGTGTTGGTGATTATTGTGGTGAAAGAACTTTTAATATGTTGTCTAATAGTTTCAATAGACACTATTGGACCATTTGACTGTCTATTAAGTCCAATGGTTGTCCTAATGTCTATTCACAACCCTGCTTTAAGTATTAATTACGATTATAAAAGGATTAACTATTTATACATCTGCTATTATAGCTTATCCATGGATATGAACATAACTTTTTGCTAGTCCATGTCTGTGGACATTTATGTCTATGGACAACACTGATTACAGATACAGTAAAACAAGGCTTTGAGGCATGGATTAGATTTGGCAAGTGTTTTATTTAATTTTCTATTTAGTTTCCATATTTATCAATAACTTTACTAACTATCACTACCTACTATTAATTTTACTTTTAGTTTATTTTATTATAACTATAATAACCTGCCCTCTTATCAACTGGATCCTGCCACTCTGAAACACTGTATTTATAACTTTACACCATCCCTGATTTGGATACATTCATCTTACTGAAATTGTTTGGGTGTTGGGGCACAATTATGCACATTTCACTATTATGTAATCAATCATGCATAATCGATCCTGGGTCCTGATCAGCACTTGTGCAATGTATTGTGATGCATGAGCTATCACAAATTTTTTATCTGTAACAATATTTAATCTCTACTTAACAGTCTTTTTCTAACAGAAATTACAAGATTTTTATATTAAGAAATATAGCAAAGGCTTTAATACAGCCTAACTAAATTAAGTATCAAAGAGGAAAGAATTTACAAGCAACAATAAAATATTTATATAACTATAATATAAAGCTGTTATTAAATTGTTCTTAATAAGCTTCACCTTGAGCTAAACCCAATATAGCATTTTATTAAATGCTTTTTCACATATAAGATCTTGCAGCTTAGCTTTAGTTTAGAACTTTAGTTTAAAAAAATTTGTTTTAAAACTTTAGTTTGGTTTATGGTTATGTTTTCTATATGCCTACAGCTAGATTACATTTTGACTTTTATAATGTGTAATTTATTCTACATCCTTCTTCTCTACCTCTCTGTATCTGAAATACTGTTCTTAATTACAAATATAACTTATTGCATTTCATGTATTTTTCATATAATCGAACATAATATTTCAGTATTACACTATTATTACAGTATAGATTATCATAGAAATTTATTTTTATTTAACTATAATAAATGAGCTAAGAACTTAAACCTATTATAAAAATATAAAGCTTTCATTTCTCTCTTCTTCTTTTAGAAATTTTAGTTAACATTTTTTAAGTGCAAGTTAATAGTTTAAAAAAATTTTTGCATTTAGAAAAAATTTACAATTAAATAAAACTAGTATAATGAGTGATATTCATCTTATATATAGTTTAATAAGTAGAATTATTTAATAGTTTTTTGATTAAATTAGAGTTGATATACCAGAAATAGAGGAATAAATTATAAAGTGTATAGCTTATATAATGTTTGAAATAATATCTATCTACAAAATCTTAGGTCTAATTGGTCTGCATAATTTATTTATTAAATTTTGATTATTTTTTTACACATGACTCAATTATATATATAGATAGTTGAATATGTAATTACATAATATAATTTGAATTCAAAAAAATGTAATATAAGAGCAGAAAGAACCATCAATGCTATATAACTGATTTTTTATCTGGATCTCCTTTAGTATAAATGGGCATATATAAATTATTACAAAATTATAATATATAAAACCTATCTAATTTAGGCCAATTTATATTATAACTCTAA